GGTATTACAATATTGTTGTTATCCATTTTGCAGGTGACAATGGCGGTGAAGCAAACATACATCGTTCAGATGGCTGGAGACGAACGGCCAAAGAGTTTCCCCGATCACTCGACGTGGTATGCCTCGTCTCTGGCGTCTGTGTCCGAGACAGCCGAGACGAGTTATATTTACGAGAATGTTTTTGATGGCTTCTCCACCATCCTCACTTCCGAGGAGGCTGACCTGATGAAGGGCCTTGAGGGGGTGATATCTGTTATCCCAGAGACAATCCACACGCTCCACACAACCCGGACCCCTCGGTTTCTTGGTCTCGAGAAATCGAGCTCACTCCTTCCGGATCCCCAACTTGTGAGTGAAGTCGTTGTTGGGGTCCTAGACACTGGCGTGTTGCCACAACACCCGAGCTTCAGTGACGAGGGGCAGCTGGGACCCATCCCGAGTAGCTGGAAAGGGGGATGTGAAGGGACAATCGATTTCCCGAAATCCAGCTGTAACAGGAAATTGGTTGGGGCGAGGTCCTTCTCCAAAAGGGTACCGATATTATCTCAATTACAGTGGGAATAAGAATGGCGAGCCAATATCCCCACGGGACTACGATGGCCACGGGACCCACACTGCAAGCACTGCTGTCGGGTCCCCTGTCCAAGGCGCCAACCTGCTGGGCTTCGCTAGCGGGACGGCGCGGGGGATGGCATCCACTGCTCGGGTCGCATCATACAAAGTCTGCTGGAAACCCGGGTGTTTCGATTCCGACATACTGGCAGGTATGGACCATGCCATCAAAGATGGCGTCCACGTGTTGTCGTTGTCGCTGGGTGGCGATCCAACTGATTATGACGAGAATGTGATCTTAATTGGAGCTTTCGCTGCAACTGATAGAGGCATCCTCGTTTCGTGCTCCGCAGGAAACAGTGGCCCCGACCCGTACAGCACGAAAAACGTGGCACCGTGGATAACGACCGTCGGTGCGGGGACCCTTGACCGCGACTTCCCGGCAGATGTCATGCTCGGGGACAGAACGAGTTACGCTGGCACCTCACTCTACAGCCTTCGAAAGCCACTGTCCGGTAATCTCGTGTACGCTGGAAATGTGAGCAACAACGGCAGCAATCTTTGCATTAACGGGACCCTCACCCCAGAGAAAGTTCGAAATAAGATTGTGTTGTGTGACCGCGGGGTGAATCCCAGAGTTGAGAAAGGCGCAGTGGTGAAAGAAGCTGGGGGTTTAGGGATGATTTTGGCTAATACTGACAAGGAAGGAGAGGAGCTGGTAGCAGACGCTCACATGATCCCGGCCATGATGGTCGGCGCAAAGTCGGGGCGTGGGATAAGAAGGTATTTGTTGTCCTATAGATCCAATGCCAAGGCCACCATTATGTTGCGAGGGATAACTAGGGTGGACGTCAAGCCTTCCCCGGTTGTCGCAGCCTTCAGCTCTAGGGGACCCAACCTTATCACCCCCGAAATCCTAAAACCGGACCTCATTGCGCCCGGGGTGAGCATCCTAGCTGGATGGACAGATGCTGAGGGTCCCACCGGCTTAGATATCGACAAACGCAGAGTCTTATTCAACATAATCTCTGGCACGTCCATGTCGTGCCCCCACGTCAGCGGCCTCGCGGCCCTGCTAAAGGCGGCCCACCCTGAGTGGAGCCCTGCCGCGATTCGTTCGGCTCTCATGACCACGGCTTACTCCAATTACGAGGACGGGAGCCCGTTGCTGGATGCAGCCACCAGCAACGCGTCCACCCCATTCGATCATGGTTCCGGGCATGTGTCCCCTATCACCGCCCTCAACCCAGGCCTAGTCTACAACCTAACCACGAACGATTATTTGAACTTTCTCTGTGCAATAAATTATACTTCTTCTCGAATCAAGACCCTTGCAGGGAAAACAACAAAATTCCGTTGCCAGCCCAAAAAATCATACAGCGTCAACGACCTCAATTACCCTTCCTTTGCAGCCACCATTCCCCCATCTGGAAATTGTAAAACAACCGTGGTTTTTAGGAGAACACTCACAAACGTGGGAGAAAATGGGACGACATACCGAGTCTCGATATATTCACCAAGACCGTCAGCCACGATTTCTGTTACTCCTAAAACATTGGTTTTCGGCCAAAAGAACGAAGCAAAGTCTTACAAGTTGACGGTGGTAGCAACCCAAATGTCGCCCGGTACAAACGCGTTCGGCAGAATCGAATGGTCGGATGGGAATAATGTGGTGGGGAGTCCAGTTGCTGTTAGTTGGATCAACGCTACTCAGGATTAATACAGTAGTTTCCTTGTTTACTTACTCTTAACTGTATCGTAATAACTCACATATGTAATAAGGCTACGCCAATAATAATAATAATAAGTCTCGTTTGAGGTATACTACTTGTTTGTTGTTTCTGTAACATTTTATTATTTACTTATTTTAAACACGTGATATATATATAGCTTTTGTTATAGTTTTAAATTATGTTTTTTTTATATTTATATGGTTTATTCATTTATCTGAATTATTATTTGTTATTAATAAAACAAAAGAAGCTTATTACACAATGAATTGTCTCATATATCGGTATTAAAAATACCACTTTTATAATGATAATATTTAAAAGTTGAGATAAAAAAAAGAGCATATACGAACAAAAAAAACAAGGGGATAAACATTTTCTCTATGTTAATATTGTTTGTTTGAAATAGTATTTTAGTTCAGGCAAAGTTGAAAAATATGTACTGTAATGACTATTTTGCTTGAACACTTCTGATTGCATAAATGTCCACTAACTAATAAAATCGAGCACAAAATACCTGAAAATTCTAAATTCGGCAAAAACTCTCAATATATGAAAACATAATCTTATTTTAACACTAGTACGAATCCCGTGCATAGATATTTATCAATATTTATAAATTAAAAAAATTTATTAAATAATATTTATATATTAAAAACATGAAATCAATATGTAATACAGTGTACCTATTTAATTTATTGTAAATGTTATATAAAATTTAAATTATGCAAAATTACATAAAAATATCTATTTTTAAAATTAGTACACAATCTGTGCGTTACACATAACTGTTAATAAATTACATTATATTCGTTTCAATATCTGTGTCATTTCAAAAATTTTATTCAGAAATCCGATTGGACTATAACATGATTCTATAGAATAATTATTGTGGTAAAATTTTATCATATATTTAGAAACCTATGTGATAATAAGTATAAATATAAAACTTATATTTTTTTTTTTCCAAAACGACAGAGGAAACTTAAATTGTTTCATTAACTAAAATGAATTTATTTTTGTATAAATATCTAAATAAAAAAATTTAAGTAGTTGAGTAAAAGCAATCTGTCATAAGATTTTTTATGCCAAAAAAATCGACACTTTTATCATGCTAAAAAAATAAACAGTGCAATTCACACAAAAATTATTTGAAATGTCGTAACATAAAATGAATTATATTGAGACCCACTAATTATACAAAAAAAAAAAATTGACGAGAGTTGTTCTATAAAAAAACATCGATACACGCACATTATATCAAAATATCCGTTTATTTTGCCGGAGTTACGTTAATTTTATACGAAAAATTGAAATACACGCCTAAAAATTAATATATTAGCCTGAGCATTACAGAAAAAAGTACACCGTATATTGATTAATTTTTCAACAAATTTCCTACTAAAAACCAGTCATCAAATAACCTAAATAGATTTGCTCACATACCATATATTGATTAATTTATTTCCCATAGAAACAACTATCAATACCAAAAATAAATTCGTACGCTTTATACCATATTTTAATTAATTCATATGATTTGAGTAATTAAGGTATCTTAAAACATGACTTAATTGGTTCTTTAAATAATGAGCCGCAATTTCCATAAGTGATCATCTAATATATACCATAAATTATTAAATTAATTTACATAAATAGTAAGTAGATTTTTTTTGGAGTGAAATAGTTACTATTTAAAAAATAATCAAACCTTTTTATATCGACTAGTACACAGCCCGTGCGACACGGGTAAATAATATTAAAATTATTTTTATAAATTAAATGTCTGTAAAAAATATTAAAATATTTTTATAATTTAAAAATATAGTTACACAAACACAATATTAAAATTGTTTCATATATTAAATGTGCGGTTGACTACACAACAATTTATCTTAAATTTATTTTCATCTAGCCTTTTTTTTTTCTTTTGGTTTCATTCATCTATTCTCGCTGACTTTTTTTTTCTTTTTTTTTTTCTTCATTGCGTTCAATTTCTCTATATTTAGTTATGGTTAGATTATATAAGTAATCCAATGTATATGATCTTCTATATATCTCTACCTCTAAAATCCGGTTAACCCGGCCTCGACCTGGGCATTGACCCAGTCAGGTCAACCTAGTTTGACCTGATCCCCATAATATTTTATTTATTTATTTTTGTTTATTTTAAAAATAAAAACTACTTATATATTTATATGGTAAATATTTGCTATTCCTATTAGATACAATATTATTAAAACTTTGATGTACAAAATTTATATAAAAAACATTTATATTTGTTACTTTTATATATGATAAAAATATTTTTTTTTAAGTTTAATAATTTTAAAATTAATTACTTGGTTTAACAATTGACCAAATTACCTAGCAGTTGAACTGGTGGCACGCATGGCTGCCTGGTTCAATTCCCGAGCAGGGTTTAAAAAGTATGTTCATAAATATTTTCTCATTATACCAATTGGTTGGTATTGGCGAAGTAGGTAATCAAAATATAAGTAGCACAACCTTTTCAATTATTGTATGCAAATACATATATTAGCAGGCATTTGAGTTGGTACTTTGATTTGTGACATCGCTTTGCCCGAAACACCTATATGAAGAAATTTTTACTGACTATGATTTTTTTTTCTAGATAAGTTTTGTTCGCATTTTTTTTTATTTTCCTAATTAAGTATTAATGTCTTTGCTTTTTGAAAATTTAATAATATCATTAATTATTATCTATTTTGTATATACAATATTTAATTAATCTTAAGTTTAAGATATTCGATACCTCTCCTAACAAAATCATACTTGTCGATATTTAGAACAATTACACTATAATTATTCTAACATTGTTTATTAGATTTTATCATCAAATAAATTCCAAAAATAACTCCTAACAAAATCCGTATAAAATGCTTTCCTATAGTATATATCATATATGATATATTTTTGTTGTAAATAAAACTAAACTTACCACTTTAACATGAAATGTATAATAAATAAAATTATATATTGATTATATTTAAAATATATATATATAAATCATCTTATATATGCATGAATCTTGGGACGGATTTTTTATTGTTTCCAACTACTTAAATTTGATTTTTATAAATTAAACGTTTATATATGCGTACTTCCACTCACTCAATATCTCGTATGGCCACATAATACCATATAAGCCGCCCATAATATACCAAATCAGGTCACATTTAATTTGCCAACACAATACCATAAATTGAATAATATATTTCTAAAATTAGTAAAAAGGATATTTTTTGGAGGGAAATAGTTACTATTTAAAAAATAATCAAACCTTTATATATATATATATATATATATATATAGATTTCAATACTTTTACTAAATATTTTAAAAATATTAAACGTAATTCTTTTGATGGATTATATTTGAATTTTCACTTATAATGAGGCAATCCATTTGGATTCGAAGGGTATGAAGTCTTTCTCATAATAGTTGCTTGTGTCATCAATCTCAATACTTTCATCAAATCTGGAATAATCTTGTCTCTTTTGAAAAGATAGATATCAATTTATTGTTCACTTTATTTGCATGTTCATTTTATTCTGCTAGTATTTCATGACTTCCCATGTACTAAACAGGTTTTGCAGTTTATTCAAATCTTAAAAAAATGATGTTTATAATGTAAGAATATTTATCCGATTTAATCATATGTCGGTGCAGCGGAATGATCGAGATTACATACCTCCAGTCATTGCTTGTGTATATTTGAGTTATTTAAAGAACTTGTAGAAGACAACGGTGAAGGCTTCGACACGTTCACTTTTATTCAGTTAGGATTTCTAGGCTCTTCACTTTTTCTTTAGATAGTGTTAGATTCAGTAGTCACAAAGTGATGAGCCTAGGGACATTTTAAAACCGATGGTACCCTTTGGCAGATAGGTACCTTTTGATATATGGTACCTGTTGGTATATGGTACCTTTTGATAGAAAAGTACAATGTCTACTTATTAATTTTGTCCATCATAGAATTAATAGGTGATTAACAGTATTTGTACTCTTTATAAATATGAAGATATGGACTACATTAAATTATCTTGTTTATACATGATACAAGATAACTGAGAAAATAAAATACTAACATTCTTCCACTAGGTCCATATGTTACTATATCCAAAACCATAGAATACAAAGAACACGAATCATGGCGATATGTCCTCTAAAATAGTGTAGTATCTTCCATGTGTTACAATTGTTTATTGTATTTTTGTGCTTCTTTTCGTGTGTTTTATGTGCTTTAGTTTAGTCTTTTTAGGTTCATTTTAGTGTCGACCGGTCCATTTTATCGTGTTTCGTGCATTTTTATTCTCGTATTGTGTTTTGTGGTTCGGCGTATTTTTTTGTCTTTTTGGTGTTGTTTAGGTCCACAATGTTCGAGTTCGGGAAGAGGAGATATTTCCGAGACATTTTCGAGCCGTCCGAACCATGTCCGAGCCACGCGAACCATTTCCGAGCACATATATTAGTTGCGCGGCAATATCGATTTGAGCATTCCAAGACGAGGAGAAAAAGATTTGAGGAGCGTGGGTCAAAGTTTCGAGTCAATTGGAGAAGCGTGCAAGAAGTTAGAGCTAATCGAGACTCAAAACTCAAGCAAAAGCCTGATTCGAGCCCGCGAAAATCAAATTCCGCGAGCACCTCAAATTCGCGAGCTGTGCCAGAGCCCGCGAGTTTTCATTTTCGCTCCCGCGAAACGCCTCTACCTCGCGAGTGTGGCCTAGCTAACGAAATTCGCCCGCGAAAATCGTTTCGAGGGCTCTCCAGAACTCGCGAGTTTTCAATGCTAGCGAATTTTGCCCCTTAGCTCACGTGTTCAGCCTACCTCGCGAGTTTTTATCATTAAATGTGTGTGTTTTAGTGTGTGTTTGAGGTGTAGATATAAATAGACTTGTTGCTTTGTAATTTGGGAACAATTCATCATTTGCTAAAATTTTCCTTTTAGTTTTTCTCTCCTCCTTCT